TGGGGGTTTCCTCTCCTGTCTGAATGGCCCCTGAGCCCCGTGTGACCCAGGAGATGGCCAGGGAGGGCCCCTTCCAGACCGAGGAGCCTGCTGGGGGTTCCAATAAGGCTTGGCAGTCTCCGAGCCCCTGCGTCTGGGTAGGCTTCAGTACCCTGGCAGTGCAGAGGGCCCTTCCCCAGGGCAGGGGGCCAGGGGACTGAGGGGGAAATCACAGAAGGCTGTCCTTCCAAAGCCTACTGAGGAGCCTGGACTGTCACTAGGCCTTGGTCAGCGAAGAAGTGTCCCTGTGGAGATCGGAAAGGAGGTAACACGTTCTAAACAAAGACAGCCAGTGGAGTGTGGAGCCAACTGAGGCACCCTGCCCGGGGAAGGCCCTGCGCTGGGAGCATGGGGAGAGATGAGGTGCTATCCCTGGTCCCATAGATGACAGCTGGTGACAGGGAGCAGAGGGGAGGAGGGCTCTGGTTCAGACTCAGGCTGGCTGGCCCAGCTGGTGAGGGTCACAGACCAGTTCTCCATGGAGGTTTGCTCATGGTGTGAAGAAGAGGAGGCCCCCCGGGGAGTGGTGAAGAGATGGGACCCTGGTTTGAGCCTGCACAAAGACCCTCAGAAGAACTGCCGTTGGCTGGGTTTTTAAAATAGAGATGAGGCCTGCTCTGTCTCCTGAAATAGGAGGTGTGTGGGTCCCCAGACACGTGCATAGCTTCAGAGCAGGGAGGGAGCTGGCATTTGGGCTCTGGGCCCCTCAGAGGCTGCCTCATGGAATTTTGAGTTTTGGCAAGATCAGACTCCCCAGCACCTCTCCAAGCCTTCTTCTGCAATGCTGGCCCATGTCCCAGAGGCTCGGTCCTCCCCCATGCCACCCCTCCCTGTACACATCCAAGCTGTTTCCTTATGAGGTCAAGGAATTCTAGGTTTGCCTGCTCCCCAAGGAACACCCCCTCCCCCAGCACCTGCCTCGGCACTCTGCTTTTTGTGTCCCCTCTGTTGTCCCACTGTGAGGTTCCACCACAGATGGTGCCAGGAGGCTGAACTGCAACAGTCCCCTGCACCCACCCCATGGGCACCTGGAGCCCACATCCAGCCCCCCTTACCATCCCAGACCACCAGAAACCAGTGTGAGCCCTTGACCATCAGAGCTGAGAGGCCCTCTACACGACTCCTGCCACATAGAAGAATTGGGGGACCAGAGAGGGAAGAGACTTGCCCAAGGGCCCTGAGTACAGTGATTCATTCATGAATTGTTCCCCCAACCAGTACCTAGTCCTCCAAGCAGTGACCTGGACGGTGTGGCGCAGCAGGGGTTCCAAGTCCTCAGAAGGGCTTTGGGGAAATCTGGGGCCTCTATGGGAGTCTTCCTGGAAAAGGTAGGCAGAGTTAAAGAAGAGTTTTTGGGGGAACTGCAGTCGACGTAAAACGGGCTAGGAAGCTTCCGAGTCCAAGCCCGAGTAAGACAGTTTCTCCTTTAAGGATGGAGAATGGCTTCTAAGCAGTATATTGTATAACTTGCCATCCCGGCCAGACTGAAAGGTATAAGGAAAAGAACACGAATATATTTCTCAGCATCCGTGTCCAAGGACACAATCGCTCACTGAGCTGTTAATGTTTTCTGGAAGATCAGAATCTTCTTAATACTTCGGTAGTAGACAAAACTTTTTTCTTCAGGGATGTTAGAGATCCTTTGCGTTTTATCTGGTATCTGAACGCTTTGAAACATTGCTCAGATGGTAACAAAAGTTCTCAGATGGTGATTATTGTGAACATGTCTGTGTAGAAGATTGTCACCGTCAATATAAAACAGTGAATGGTTAGCTGACCAAAAGACTCTCAAAGAATGCATTGTGTTCCAACTCTAGCACCATCAGTTCATTGGCACGGCCAGTGGGAGAGTCAGCCTGCTTGGCAGAAGGAATGGGGCTGATTCTAGTGGTTTTCCAAAACGTTCAACACGAGGAGAAAAGGCCTTTCATTTATGACAATCTCCACCAGAGAACCGTTGGTCCTGTACAAACCTTCATTCTCTCCAGACCTGGAGGAAATTGAGACGGAGAGTTGCATGTGTTTTGGGGGTGTGTGTGTGGAAGAGGAAGGCGATAGTGTAAAGAAAGCATTCAAATGGAGGTGGGGATCCCAAGATCCAGCCATGGGGTCACCACCTCCTTTGTGGCCCCCACCTATTGTACAGTGCCTGTGGCAGGTGGGTTTCCTTCGCTGAAGGATAGTCTTGGCCATGAGCTCCAGCACAGCTACCTAATAGGCCTGAACTCAGGTCACTCATCTATCAAGTGATGATAAACCAGCGCCCTTTTCAGTGGTTGTTGGGGGCGGGGGTGTCCCACCTGAGGGAGCAGTGAGAGATGGACATCCTGGCACTACTAGGAGATCCCACCATGGGTCAAGGTGGAAAGGTTATGGCCAGCAGAGCTAGGAAAGGCAGCAGAGGATTCAGAGAGGCTTGGAGGGTGATCAATGCCTTCCTGTTAGTGTTAAACTGTGAAGCGCCAATTTCATTTAGCAGGTGTGACCAATCCTCTCCCTTCCACTCCCTTCCACTCCCTTCCTTCCTTCCTTCCTCCCTTCCTTCTCTTTTAATGAAATAGAATAGAATAGAGAATATCAAAGTGCTTTTCAGGTACTAAGGGAGAGTCTCCTTTAGTGAAATGTTTGGTTATTTGTGTCTGTGCGTGCGTACGCATACTGGCTCAGGATGTAAAAAGTAATTCTTATTGGGGGTTATGGGTAGAATGTTAAAATGACACTGCTTCATGTGGCCTTCCTCAGAAGTGACATTTGAGCTGAATCTGAAGCTACCAGGAAATGGGCACATAGAAGAGGAAGAGGGAGCCTGGCCGTGCCAGGGCATGGCTGTGCCCACCCAGCTCAGAAACATTTGGTTCTTTGGCTGCACCTCACTGTGCACTCCCAGGCTTTGGGACTGAACCTGATTGGTCTCCTAAGAATTCAGTACTTTCTGCTGCCAGATCCCAGGCATGGCACTCAGCAGGGGCCAAGTCGGTGGCAGCCAGGCTACTTGCTTATCACCCGGCTCGGGTCCCTGCCCCACTGGGGCCTTGAGGGTGGTAAGCACTCAGTGAACACCTGCAAAGGCCTGTTGTCTCCTCCCACCCCGCAGGGCAGAATCCGACTTGCCTGGCCAGCCCAGGCTTGAGGTGAAGGTAGGAACAGTGACTGTGTGGGTGGTTCCCTGAAGGAGATAGCCTTTCTGGCTGAGTTGATACATGGGCCCTGAGGACCCCGCGAACTCTTGAGGCAAACCTCCCCCTCATCACCCCAGCAGTCTTCGCCGGGCGGTGAGCTCATCGAGGGAGGGGGACGTCGCCAGGCGGCCCGGGCGCTTGAGCTCACTGCGCGCCCCCGCGCCCCCCCCTCCCGGCTCCTGGGC